GGCCAAATGGGTGCCCTAAGCAGAATAGCACTGTTGTGCCCCCTCCTTAAAAAAAAAAAAAATACTAATTAAATTGGATTATTTATAAATTACAATTGTAGCTCTAGACAGTTACCTATGGCTATAATTTTATTAATACCGTTGTCTGATTGATTTTATAGTCTCAAGCATTCAGAAATCACACAAAATAAAATTAAGCAGTTTTACTACGATAAAACCATGGATAATTTTGGTAAGGGTTGTGATGTCCACATGTTTTTGTTGAAGAAATTAAAGAGGCTGTAGCATTTCTATCGCAAAAAGGTGGCCAAAAATTAAAAATTAAGTGGATATTTGAATTAAATGTTTGGTCAATATTAAACAAGGATTTGATCAATAATAAGTCAACAAGTGTAACAACAGCAATTATCAGGCCTTTGGTGCCCTTTGCAGGTATTTGTAATAATGCAAATTGTTTATTTTGTATTACATTATGTATTTAACAGTGTTATTCAGTGAAACCATATGATTATTATTAATTAACCAATCATTATTGCCTCATTGTTTTAATACATTTTAAGTCATGAAAACTAGAATATTAAGTCAGATGTGTTGTTGGTGGTGGTGAAGTTATTACCGACATTAAAAGGATTTCACAGGATTATGAACGTAGTGATGCACGGGCTTCATCTTGGGCTTTTTTATTTTTATTTTCTCTGCGCCAGACTGCGCTGATGTCTTTTCCCTGATATAGTCTAGTTGTCCATTAATTATGATGATCATTTGTATTCAGCCGCAAACATGAGGTGAGAGCCAGAGCGGGCGCGGGCGCACATGTGGGAATGGCGCGTCATGTGTGCTTATACCGCCTACTGCGTTCACCATAAAATGCATTTTTTATAATTATATATTTTATATATTAGAGAGAGGAGAGAGCTGAGTCAATCATGATCTACAGGGGTTTTATACTTACACGTACAGTATAATTACAGTTCAGTACCAGTACATTAGATAATGGAAATTTAACTATTCTATATGTACAGTAAACTGTAGCACGTTGTACACCTTCAAACGTGTGACTGTCAAATTTCGTTTGTAACCGTTGAAAAACTATGCATGGGGGGTTGCTCATTGGGTCTTGCCCTCATAGACCCCATGCTACCCCTTTGCCACCCTAAAAAATATTTTCTAGATCCGCCCCTGGTTGTGGCTGCTGTGTGTCACATGACGACCCCCCCCCCAACTCGTGTCCCCTCAAAAATAATGAGTGCATGACGCCCCTGAAGCTGACTACACTGTCATGCTGCGTGCGCGTGCAACCATCGTGCACAGTTTATTGAAAGATGTGTTTTTTACCATTATTTTGCGTACTCTGTCATCGCCGCGGCTGAAAAGTAGCACATGAAACACTGCTTACATTTATATTTTATTCTGTGATAATTCTGAGGTGGCAGGTGGGGTGGCACAGCTTAGGGTGACAGTTGCTACCCCGCAGGGGCAGATCTAGAAAATAATTTTTAGGGTGGCAAAGGGGTGGCATGGGGTCTATGAGGGGTGGCAACACCAAAGCAAGCCCCCGTGCATAGTTTTTGGGGATTTATGGTCTGACATACACAGTTGTGTTCACAAATATTGTATTACCATTAAGTAATCATCTATACTGTTTAAAATGAAAAATAAATAACAACAAAGTCAATACACAATATAAAAAAACTTCAACAGGTTATAAACGTTTCTGAGCTTGTATCACTAAAGAAGACATGCGGTTCTATTAAAATTACATAGGCTACTTAGATGGTATAACACGTTTTAGTGCAAGTTTAAGAGCAACAAAAACTTTTGAATTTCTTAACATTAGAAATAAATACAATAATATCAAAGCACTGAAAACGGATCAGTTTTGAATACAATGTTTGATTTTCTGTTATTAACAGAGGTGGGAATGTCTGTAATCACCCAGAACAAACTCTATCAACCATATACTCTAGCAACACCCCAGCAACTGCATAGCAAGAGCCTAGCAACCACCCAGAATATCCTAGCAACCAAGTAGCAACACTTTAGCAAACATCTAGAACAGATACGCAAACATCTAGAACTGAGTCAAAGGCCGAGAATTAGTGTATTGTTTTGCAAATTTGGTGTGTGGTTCTGGTGTCAGGTTTCAGAAATTGTGTGACAAGTAAAGATTTTGTGTGTAAGCAGTTGAAAAAGACTGTAAATGCTTACACACAATTCAAACACACAGATGA